TATCTCTGGCCTGTACCCCGGTTCTGTATAAATAAATAAATCTAAAAAAAAAAAAAAAAGTCGGCTGAGCACACTGGTGAGAAATCCGAGCTGTAGGGAGGTGATACTGCTTGGGGGGATGGCTGAGAGCGGTCGGTCCATTTTCCTTCATCTCAAAGAGAAGACCTGGTGCGAGGTGGGAGCACAACACCTCCTGGGCTGCCCGCCCTGCCCTTAGCTGAGACTTTCCCTGCCCTCCAAGGGCCGCTTGATCTGCTCTCCAGGAGATGGCCTTTGCTCTAGTCCACAGCAGTGAAGAGGCTGGAGTGAAGGTGACTGTCTACGCAGGTCCTCCTTTCCCTTGGTGTTGACCCACATGTGACTCCCTTAGAGCCTGGTGCTCGGTTGTACCCACCACTGGAGAGAAATATCTGAACGCACCCCCTGACGGCTGAGTCTGGGTTGCCGGGACGCTGGTGTCCCACGGGGGTCCCAGCTGGGCTGTGCGCAGGGCGGGCAGAGGGCACAGACTTACCAGCATCACGCGCACAGAGTCGGCCACGAGCCTCACGTAGGGCTTCAGGATGTCGTAGTGGAAGGCTGGGGTCAGCATCCTCCGGTGCTGGAACCACGGCTGCCCGTTCAGCAGGAGCAGACAGTACCCTGGGACACAGAGGGACGTGAGTTCAGGGATGGGTGACCAGGTCAGAGGGACAAGTGGGAACAATTTGGCAGAAAACAACGGTGTCATCAGGGGGCACATTGTGGAGGAAAGGAGGGTCATTATCTTTCAGGAATGTGAATTCCTCAAAACAGGTGGTGCCTAGGATGTGACTATGTTATATGAGTTAAATGTTCACCAAAAGCAGAGGAGCAACAAAGCTTAAGGACACTGGAGTTGCCTGAGGTGATACGGAAGAAGCTGAGTTCAGGCGGGTTCTTGCCACTATTAGGATGGGGTGAGGGTTTTATTAAAAGAAGAGAAATGAGGCATGGTAGACCTCTCCTGACCTGCTGCTGCTCCCCTCAGCAGCCTGTTCTGTTCCCCACGCTATCTCTGCTGAATCCTCTCAGTCCCTACACCTCTGGCCTGTACCCTAGTTCCTATATGCATAAATAAATGAATCTTTAAAAAAGAGAGAAGAG